CTTTGGGAACAACATACCGCAATGTCTTGGAGAAGAACAATTCTCCATAAATCTTCTCCTTGTTCCTGGAACAAGATTCCAGCAGAATTCCTGGTTTCTTTTTCCCTTGTGAAAATCCAATAGTTTATTTTATTCCAATCACACTAGAAGGCAAATGATGCTATATCTTCTGAGATCCCAATTACTTTTCCCCAAAGGAATTTCAAAGACAGAGGGTGCCTCCTTTTTCAACACAGCAGAAATCTCTCATGCATCTATTTGAACCCTTTCAGTGTACTTGATAAAGTTTCTGAGACCTGCACTAAAAACATAGTATACTGTTCTGAAAGGTGTATGTGGTATATTGTCTCCAAATCTTGTTTCTGATTTACAGGTACAATAAATACACTTTTCGTAGAAATCAGTGTTGTTCCACAGAGTGACTAATAGTGAATAAATAAGGGATGGGGCTTGTTAACATGATTTATTAAATTATTACTATATCTCAGTTGGAGTATTCAGGAAAAGAATGTCTAAAACAAAAAATAAAATACTGATTTTGTTGTAGGTTCAGAGTCCTTCTTGGATGCAGCCTCAACCATATATAATGCAGCACCCAGTAAGTTTTTATGCTTCTCCGTTGTTGTGTTACTGATTGTATAAACACTTTACATACTTTAAACAACAGGAAATAGGTCAATTCCCACCCAATTACTTCCAGTGTTTTGACAATTACATCATGATTAAATCATGGATCAAACTGAAAAAAGAAACAAAGCTAGTAACCTGAATTGGGGCCTCATTTTATTAGGAAAAAAGAAAGCTGCCTTCAGGGTATCGAGGTGATGAGGACAATTAGAGTTACCAAGTCAGCATCCTGAGGAAACTTTTTCTTTTTTTTTTTTTTTTTTTTTTTCTTTCCTTAAATGAACTGCACTTTGCCAATACCAATGTTTTACATACTGTTTACCTATCAGGAGCTGGAATTGAAGACCCAAGGTTTTAGAATGGGTCTAGAATAGTTCAGACTGGATAATTTGTGAAAGACAGATGGATGTAGTGATATAAATTACATGATGGGCACTCACTTGAGAAAACCTGCATAGCTTGTTCTGGCTTCACCACTCATGAGTAATGCTAGTCTCCCTACACTTTTGGCTGTGGCATATGTACCAGACTGTCAGGCATTCTAATCTATACTCTCCCATGATATTTTGCTTCTTATCTATTTCATTTGCCAATTAAGTACCATTATATCTGAGACTTATTAGGTTTCTTGAAATGAGCATTACAAATAATAACAGGCGCTTTAATATATGCACTCCTGTAGTTAACAAACAAGTCTGTTTCTAGATATAGAAAGGATATTGTCTTGACTTTAATTAACCTCTCCATGCAGATTATAGAATGTAAATCTTATTGGCAGAACATTTTCTTCTTGTGCATGCAGAGAAGGTGATACTGAATCAGACCACCCTCTCACACACTTAATTGTTGTTGTATTTGTGGTTTTTGATGTTAAACACACAGGCACACAACTCTTTTTAACTTTTCTCTCTATCAACATGGATTTTCATAAAAAAACATCTTGCAAACCATGCTGTGAAAGACACAAGTTGATATGTTAGAATGCTCTAAGGTATTAGTTTCATAGATATACAAGATGAGACTTCCCAGTTGAAAATAAAGCTCTAAATTCCTGACTTAAGTTCAGTTTTGGCCTGTGCAAAGACTGGTGTTGTCTTGCTTATTTGCTTTGCAGAGAAGCCTGCAGTCTACAGACAGGAAATTCTTTTAGCGTTTGATGTGCCTGTGACTCATTTCATCTACACTGATCACATGGTTGTTTTTCCAACTATACTCTCAATGGTTTTTTTTTCTTTTCTTTTTTTCTTTTTAAGGATTAGTTATTGATTCAAAATACTGGCTTTCAGTACACTGCAATTATTTCTGTTAGTTTGGAGCCTCCATCAATTTTAATCAACACTTCTGCAAGCCTAAGTCATACAAAGTATTTGGAAATGTGTTTTTGTAGAACATGATTGGTAAAATGAAATTTGTTGATAACCCTCCATTTCAGATTACTCTGAAAACATTACGAGTGTGCCCTCCGTATTTAGCGATCTCAAGTGTTTAAAAATTCAACATACACTTTTTATGACATTAACAAAATGGTACAGGAGTGATAGAAAGGTCATCACAGTAGCTAGTATTTAGACAAAGAATCAGCATTGCTAACCCACTCTTCTAAGATGTGTGTGCTAATGAAACCAGCCATTAAGTAGGGCAGCTGTCTTCTGTGTGAACATCGCATGTGACGATAGAATTCTCCTAACACAAATGTTCCTCTAAAGCCTCCATTCCTAAAGATGAGATAAAAGTTTCTTCCTAAAACCTGAAATTCCAAAGCTTAAGCTAAGTGAATCTACACCTGGCAACGTGTGCAGATTTTTGCTTTAAAGGTAGCATCTGGTTAAACTTATATTTTACAAAGTGTTTTCAGCAGGTGTCTCAAGTGCATTGTACATCAGTTGCGTGTTCAAGAGGAAGTCAATGCAGTTCTTACCCCATTACCAAACTGTGCAAAATGCATCTGCTCGAGTAGAATATTCAGAATGCCCCAGACCCGCTTCCTGAGTCCGTGCCTGGGATTAAGGAGACTTCTTGTGGTATATCCCCTCGGAAGGACAGCCCATACTTAAACTCTCAAATCAGAAATGTAATTAAAATCCAAGTGTTGCCGCAACCATTTCTTTCTTTCTCTGTTTTAATAGGGTGCTGTACTGACTCCCTCCATGGACCACACCATGTCACTACAGCCTGCATCGATGATAAGCCCTCTGACACAGCAGATGAGTCATCTTTCATTAGGCAGTACTGGAACAGTACGTAGCAATTTAATACAAAATAGAACTTACACAAGTAGGAGATACTGTGTGTAGATCACAGTATGCATGTGCAGCTTGCATGTAAAAAAAAGTAATCCTTTAAGTGAGTCTTTTATCCAATAAAATATTAAGAACTGTCTCAATTTTTAAATCATATTCAGCAGTTTTTATCCGGTCTATTAGCTGATCAGAAATTGGAAATGAGTAAATAAAAATAGATCAAAGCAAATGAACCAGGTGGTAACTCCAGAGTTGTATCGAAAAAGAAAAAATAATTGTTTTTACTCTTCAGGAGATCAGAGTCGCAGAAAGTAATATAAAGTGTGGAACAGAAAGTAAACCAGAAAAAGAGATGCAGGCTAGCTTCTAAAATGAAAAACCCTTCTTTTCTGAGCAGACAGAATTAAAAAAAGAAAAGATGATGATAGGGATTAACAGAGGAGGAAAAAGTCCTTTACCTAGTCTTTGAAGTCTAAATTTGAGTTTTCTCAAAACAGGTATCTGACTTTTCTGAAAAGCCTATTGATTTCAGACAGAAAAATCTTTCTCTCATGTATATTGCTTTAGGGAAACAGTCAATATCTATTAAACAATATCATGATAGGTATTTTGAATACTCTTAAATTTACATTGGGCTTTAACTCAGCTTAATGGACTCTCTGTCTTTCTAGTACATGCCAGCCACAACAGCTATGCAAGGAGCCTACATACCCCAATATACACATGTCCAGACAGCAGCGGTTCCTGTTGAGGTCAGTATATTTTATAAAAGAATATGATATTAGATTTTTTTTTTTTTTCTAGGAAAACTACCGTTTAAAGCCTAACATTGTAACTGTGAACGTACTGTGAATACAATGTATATTAAAACTATAAAGTGTCATTATTTTCAACTAATATAACGAGTATTATAACAAAGAATGACCTGTACTTGTAGCAGTACAGTACTTGGAGCAGTCTTCTGTATGAGCATAGCTCAGACGAACTTTGTGTTTTGTGAAACCTAACTTCCAATAGGAACAAGCCAGGGGGTATATTGTAGTTTTGATCTTTCATTTCGTTTTCCTGTGAGCAAACTTCTCTGCCAACAGACCATGATTGTAACTTTTTACAAAGAATCCCGATTTTACCCTTGCATCTCAGGATACTGTGCATATTTGCCTAATAAACCCCTCTGCAAGTCCAGCTGAAGAGCATAACTAAATGGTAGACAATCGTTTGTCTACTATTTTGACTTAACGTTCACCCTTTCATAGGTCAGTACTTCTTTAACAGAGGAGCTAGACAAGGTACGTTGCAGCTCTTGTATTCAGAATGAGTGCTAGACAGTCTCTTCCAGAGCCTGCAAGAAGAAACATTTCATTTCAAAGTCTATTTGTCCAGAAACTCCAAAACTTGTTCGGTTCAGTTTATGCATCTGCCCTTGTGGGTTCGAGAAAGACTTTTGGTAATTAGCCAATTGCACTGTCTGCCAGAGGACTGTCAGCTGAATTAATTCCCTTGTTTCTGGGGCTCTGTGAGCGAAGTCCCAACTGCAGTTCTTTGTATTGCTTAGTGCCAATCACACCACGGTACTCAAAGTGATAGTGTTTGTACATGCGGTAAGTAGATCTCATTCTTCTTGCTGCCCCTCAAAAGGAGAGGGGCAGAATCCTCTTTTGCATTTGCAGATAGAAAATATACTAGCAGTTATTTGCTCCCTTTATGTATTTCTGTCAGAGGTTTTTTTTAATTATCATCAAAGCAGCTGGGAAAATACAAGGTTTGCATGATCATTTTATTTATCTATTTGCTGAAATGTAAATCAATGCAAAGTTAACACCTCAAATTTGGAATACCCCACTTGAGAAATGTTAGAAAGACTTCAGATTTGAAGACTGTTAATTGCATGAGTCGCATGGAAATAGAGATTGCAGATAGTGGTGCCTGATTTTGTGTCTCATGTCTTGTCTTCCATTTTATTTGCAGGAAGCCAGTGGTCAACAACAGGTTACAGTAGAGACGTCCAGTGACCATTCTCCATATACGTATCAGCAAAATAAGTAACTGTGAGGTAGGGGCTTATCTTGTAACATAAAAGATGTGAATTCAAAGATATTTTATTTCATAACTTGCAGTACTCTGTATTGAAAATTCTTTTTTTATATCATATAAATAATGCTGATAATGTCTGGGGACAGGCAGTGAAGTTAATTTGAACTTGGCCAGAGTTAGAAGCCAGGAAAGGAAGCACAGGTTTCAGAAGTGAGTTAATGAATTATGAGTAATAGTGTTTTAATAATTTCTCTATAGCATAACTGTATTATGTTGTATTTTAATTTGTTCATCTTGGCAGCATGTATACAAGAATAACAATGAATTAGCACAAAAATACTAGAATCACAATACTAAAGGGACCTGTATTTACACATATAATATCCTCTAGTTCTGTGGTACATGTAAGATTTGGAAGCAGCTTTGCGGCTTACAGACCACAGGCAGAGGGGTGGTCTGGTAGAAATCCTTGCTGACCCTTTCTCCTGAAGACTTCCCTGCTCATTCTTTATTCTAGGAAAAAGCAGTTTGGTCCAGAATTTTGTCAGTTAATTTTCAAGCCACGTCCTAGCTTGGCTCTAATACCAGAGTTGTTTTACTTTCCTACTCCAAGTTTCCTCTGGTTTTGCTTGCATGGCCTTTCTTTACTAACCAATTGTTAGCTTTACCCGAACTCCTTCCATGCAAAATCTTTGCTTTCTGTAGATTGCCATCCTGAAAATATTGTTTGCACTAACCATTCCCTTCTCCATCTTCCATGTTTTAAAATTCTGGAATTTAGTTGTTCCTTAACTCATCTTTTTCTGAGTGCTTTGTAAACCAGGCAACTTGACTACATAATTTTTTATCATATTTTGTAAGACCTCATACTGAAAAATTCTGTTCAGCTGCAATAATATGCTACAGGCCATCTTAGAAGGGTTTTTCTACAGCCCTCACGGCATTTATTAATACTCAAAAATCATAATCAGTTTTGTGTGAGGAACTTCTAATTGTGTGATATTCTCCCTGAATTGTATAGATCTAAGAGTACACACGTTTTGCCCTTACCTTTGATTTTGCAGGTCAGCTGTGTTATTTGACAACACTGCTCTCATCCCCGTTATCAGCATAACAACTTCTTATATGTTCAAGAATGTAAAGATAGAAATAAACCAATGGGGAAACTTCACACATTCAACAGATGGCACAGTCTGCATAGCGCAACATATGACCTGTGTTTGTTATTGTAGTCTGGCCAAATGCCGGCATCTAGAGAAAGCCCACATCCTTGATTTGCATCCAGGGCAGGGAGAAAGCAAAGCCACAGACTCTTCTCATTATCCATCTCCTAGTGTTAAAATCATGGCTCCTGCATGTTTTCCTATGCCAAGGCTATTGGCTGGAGTTAACTGCTTTTCAAGGAATTATTTGTTTTGCCTTAAGCCTCCCCTGTGGGCATGTAAAACCTCCTTACCAATAGAGATCTGCGGTAGTCAGCGAAGCGTAATCCTGCATGTCATCTCCCCATCCTGCCTCTCTCTCCCAGCCTGTCAGTGTCTTTCCCGTAGGCTGGGGCCAGGCAGGAGGAGCAGCATTTAGTCTCCTGAAAGGATTAGATGTGTTGCCATCGGAGACACATTTTAGTAACGATGACTCTGTGTAGAATACCGAGCTCTGTGAGCAACTCTGTGCGTTTGCTGTAAGCCAATCCTCCACGTATTTTATTCTTCAGAGAAGTACCGTTACCTGTCTTTATATGCAGTAGGAGCCAGGGAAATCTATGTCAGCAATGGCTATTTCAGTGGGCACGTGGGGAAGGTTAATATTACTCAACTGATTTCAGCCTCAGAGTATGGCATTTGGTATTTCTGTCCCTGGAACATGTTGGTACTTGTCATTTTTCAGACAGGTGAAGGGGAGGGAATTGACAGTTATTTCTTGCCCTAAATACAGGGAACGCCGCGGTCTCTTAATTGTTGTGGCTTCGTTACTATTGTCAAATTGAAACGTCTTTCTAAACGCGCAGGCAGCACTTTTGGGAATGTCCTATTAAAAGTCAGTACACATATTGCCATAAATAAGGGGTAAATGACAACTAGCACATTTGCACGAGTGGATGCAATCAAGCAGAAATACACAGCGTCTTTCCTTTGACAGCTACATTTAATAAATTTATAGCTTCTTTTCAAAAAGTTGCTACTATGTGAAAATAGTCAAAGGGACTTGTAAACAAACAAGTTATAATTATATATGCACCTATAAATGTACAAGCCTTGAAATACCAGACTTTGTCTTGCCTTGAGAAATTAAAAAATTGTCTAAACTTTTTTTCATTAGCTGGGTATTTTTTTAAACCCATATGACAATATAAGCCAATACAGTAAATTGAGAAGTTTTCCTCCAAATTTAATGAGCCCTGAATTGCTGTTAAGTATTAACCATCACAGAGGCACAGTAGCTGTCTCTGGGTTGGCTGTTGTATCTTGTACATAGTCTCCCTGAGGCTGCACCGAAAGAAAGTTGTGTCCCTTTTCCAGAGATCAGAAGCCTTGGAGATGCCGCAGGAGTAAGCTTGCACACACAACCATTTTTGGTCAATTAAAAGGAAACAACAATAGCAAAACAACAACGAAGGAAATAGCTTTGAATGCAGTTTCACGGTTCCCCAGTGGGAACTCCGCATGCTGAACAGGTATTAGAGATAGAGGGGGAGAATACGATACAGGCTGTATCCTGGCAGAGCGCCTTGTCCTGGGAAGGGCCCAGCACCTGGAGTGCCGCCTGTGGCACTTCTCAAATTTGTACTTACGTTCACTTAGTCTTCTCACAGCTGTCTAAAATAGGAAATGATTTAGTTTTATGGACAGCTACACTAGAAAAAAACCCATGCAATTGTAACTCCACTCTAGCTCTGACCTTTCTGTGTTACAGATGTCCAGTGTTGACCTGGCCTGGAGAAGGGTGCAAAGGCTGAAACAATCATGGATTTTACTGATCAATTGTGCTTTAGGAATTATTGACAGTTTTGCACAGGTTCTTGAAAATGTTATTTATAATGAAATCAACTAAAACTATTTTTGCTATAAGTTCTATAAGGTGCATAAGAAAAACCTTAAATTCATCTAGTAGCTGTTCCCATGAACAGGTTTATTTTAGTAAAAAAAAAAATTTTTATCAAGTGTTATGACGCAAAAAAAAAAAAATTCAAATTTCTGGGTATGCACAGATGACCACGAAGACTTATTCACGTGCATGACAGAATTTGTGTTTTGGTTTATTTTTATTCTGTTTGTTTCTTTTTTTTTTTTTTTTAATTGTATGAAATGGGTTTTCTGAAGTTTAAAATAGTAAAACATCTAAGATGATGTTCTGTGCTTGCAGTGTGTGAGTGTTGCTTTAGTGCAGTGTTGCAGTTATAGTGTCTGGTCTTTTAGCTTTCTGTTTTTCTTTTAATGTAGTGTGAAGTGTCTTATCCTTTTCTATAAATTCCAATTTGCCTTAAATCTTTCAATGCTGTAGCTGTTTCAGTAAGTAGTCCAAACTAATGGTGTAGAACGCTTTGACCAAATGAGCTGGTCTATTATGCCTTGTAAAACAGCAGCATAGGGCTTTTAAAGGTAGTCAATAAAAATTGCTGAAAATTTGGCTTTTTTAATGTGTAGTAAGTGTTTTTAATGATTTTTCACATAATATGTAAGGTAGTGAAATGCAAGAGGGGAAAAAATGTTTTGTGTGAAACACATTTTCTGACTGGGGAAATTTTAATAGGATAAATTGTTTGTAAGGCCATATGCCAATAGTTCCCTCTGGTAGTTTGAATGATTTAGGAACTCTGCTGTATGATGCAATGTAAAATCTTTTTTTGCCTTTTTTCAGAAACTAACTTGATGTTCTAGTTTTAGCATAGGTAGAGTAGGGAGTTTGGGGTGGGGATATCACCGAATGTTTTTCTCCTTCCTTTATACTAATGATAGTGCTTTAGGATGAGGATTGTGCTGAGACTTAGCAAACAGAAAAGTTGCTATTACAGCGAAATGGCAAAAGCTAAAGGACTCGTTTTCAAACATACGCTGAGATGTAAGTAGAAGCATAATTGATTGGGTACTAGCTCTCTATAGTAGGTAAATAAAAATAAAAAGACTTGGCACTTTTAAAAGGTAACTTTACCAAAGAACAAAGAGCCAGTAACCAATAATTCTGATTTGTCTCAGCATTACGTCTTCTGTACTCTTTATTTTTGCCGGACCAGTTTGCGGTTAGGAGAATGTGCCTTTTTTGTACATTTGCATTTAGGTTTTATAATTTTAATTGATGTATGGACACAAAAGCATGAAGGAAGACTTGGATCCAAGCAGTGCCACACTTTACATCATCACTACAAGTGTTAAGTGTAAAGAAAACCAATTTTGAAACTATGAAATTCCTGATTCATAAATACACAGTTATTTGTACTTCACATATTAGATAATTCACTGCTACTAAAGCTCTTTATTACAATTGCATATGTTTTAAATCAAATGATAAATTAAGTTGTCTTCCAAAACTGTGTACTTCTCTGGTCAGCTGTATATGATCAGTTATCTACCTCAAAGTTTATTTCCTTTTGTATTGGGACAGGTTGCTGGCCCTCCCTGTTTCCACAGACCAAATCATCCTAGCTCAGGAGCTAGGGCTAAGCAGTTGTTTCTTTCAAGTATTTTTTAGTTTTTAAATTTTGTGTGAGTATTGGAGTATAGATGTCGGTGACATTTCATAGTTTCAAAAGTAAATTGCTGCTCTGAGAAGTGTAGATTCTAGTGAAATACATAGTCATAAGAGATGTGTTTTTGTTTTTTCTTTTTTTAAAAGTTGTGGTATTATTGGTTCTATGCTCCCTGGAATATTACTGCTTTGTAAAAGTCCAGACTTCCTGCAGCACCTTGCCTGTATCTGGTAACTTTCCAAACCTGGATCTCTCACTACTTGATATTTTTGCGTTAATTAAAACTGCAGTATGATAGCTGTGTTAGAGGGAGGGAAGAGCTGCTGCCAGAAATGTCTGAACTAAGTGCCATACTCATTGTCTGGGTAAGATTTGGGAAATTTAACCTCTGTACATAAAGAAATAATCAGTTACTTAAACATCACATAGTAGACAGCCATTAAATTATAAAAAATTAATTTATGAAGAAAGACCTTTTGTACAGATTGAAAAAAAAAGATTTTCATAGAGATATCTATATGATCAAGAGAGTTAATTTTTTATTTTTGTTTTACTAGTGCCACAAACTTGCCAGTGGTAACTTATTTGTCCGGTTCAAGATAACTCTGTAGTTTTGTTTCCTAGGACTTGTTGTTAAACGCCAAAAGACATTTTTGAACTGTAAATTTGATTAGATTGTTAGCTTTTTTCTGTTTTATTTCTTTGAAAACTTTTGAATAAAAAAGATCCAAAAAAATGAAAATGTATCGCCTTTTTCCTTCGGCTGCTTTGTCACTGGGGGAAAACCCAAACAGATTAAGGTAAAACCTTTGCATTTATTTTGAAGTGCTCAGAGTTGCTTTCTGCTTTACAGTCTGGGTTTTTCCCTCCTCTATCTTCTGTTAAAATCAAATTTTAACTCTTTAAACCGCATTACAGAGTCACCTATTCTTTCAGACAGAACAGGAAAAGACGTATGAAAAATACATGATGAAATATCTGATTTGAATGCAAGAACTCTGTTGTTCTGTGTGTCAGCCCACACTGAGAGTTGTGTATAACCAGGCCTGCGCACTGTAGTTATAAATGCAAGAAGTAAGGGTGGAGATGGAGGTCATTTTGGTAGTTCGTAGCATTGAACTGCTGCCTAAAAGTCCTTTTGTCTTCCCAAGAGCAGTGGCGTTGGCTGGCATACCCAGTTCTGGAGAGCAGAGGTGACTCTTCACTGGAATTAAAAATTATCCCAAGTGTTTGCCTTCCAGCTGCAATCTTTGAGCATTTTATTTCTTTAAAGATAATCCTGGATTTTATTATTCTTTTGGCAAGATCACCACTGCCGGTGGTGTGTATCAGATAGGACTGCTCTGCCCAAAGTAAGGCTTGGAAAAGAACTAGAGTAAAATATCAACTCCTGTGTCTCCTCAGCCAAATGCTTTTCCAATCACGCAGTCCTCAACATCGCTTTGTGTCGACGTGCATGGCAGGAGAGGGGCTCTGACCTCGTCTTGGGCGCCCCAGGGTGCACCCAGAGGCAGAGAGCAGCGACGGGGTGATCCAGTGGGCTCCTGCGCCTTCCCACCGGTGCTGGATAGGCAAAGGGGAGGCTCGCTGGCCGCAGGCTCTGCCGCTCTGGGGAACCCTCTCCCACATGGGAGACAGTCCTTTACATGATACACCAGGTTTTGACATATCCCAAGGACTCAGCCAGCCCTGCGGCAGGCCGGGCAGGCTGCTGGGGGGTCAGCTGGGGTCACGCCGCGGGCAGCGCGCAGCCCGAGCTTTCGGTCACACGATGCTGATGCGAGATACCGAGAATAAATGTGTTTCCAGTGGAGCTAGCGAAAGGGACTCACCTAGAGGTTAGGAAACTTGATTTACATTAGCTTATACAATAAAGACATCCTTGACAATGATGGCTCTTATTATTAATGAAGAGAAAAAAACCTCACACTGTGTGCGACTAAACACATTTAGACTCCTGTAACTGAAAAAACCGCCATTTAACCATTTTGTGGTAATTTAAATACTGGCCCAGTATGTTGCCTGTATAAAATGCAATGGATGAGAAGATGAATGCAGAAAACTTTTAACGGGTTTTGTTACATTATTCCTGTTCACCACCATATTGAATTAATCTCAAATGAATAAGCAGTCTTTCTGAATTAAGTATGAATACTACCTCACAAAAGCTATATGTAGTAGACTCAGAATAATGCAGGTTGGAAAGACTTTTTGCTATCTATTTGCTTTTCTAATTAGCCCTATGATAAACTTAGCTCTCTTACTGTAACTCCAAATATATTTGATAAGAATGAATGCTTTCAGATTAGTACCTTTTGCCTGATATAATAAGGTTGTGTGTATCATTTCTATCAGGCAATCTGCAATAATGCAGTCTTTAGGTAATATACTTTTATTATATATAATAAAACTCATATTTATTACCAACTGGCTTGTTCAAACGTTGACTCCATCCTCTTCCATACAACCTGTTTTGAACCCTACTTGCAAACATGCTGTTAATAACATTTTTTTTACCTGTTGAAAAATACTGATAAGCAGCATGTTCATGTAGGATGATTTTATACTGATAGAAATGTTTTGTGCAAGATCATGCACAGACCCCATTGATTGTTGGTTGTTAGTGATTAGAAAGTAGCCTTTCTCTAGGCGCTGAACAAAATCTTTTTATCTCCTCTATTTTTTAAATTAACTGAACTGGGCAGGTGCAAGACAAGTGCAAGCAATGCATTAACAGCAGCGTAACAAAGTACTGTTGATCAGCTGAGCTCTGCTAATGACTGTTTGCGTATATTGGGCTGGAATGTTTGTGGAGTAAGTCAGAGTAGTCTAAAGCACTTTCCTGGTACTCTTTGTCAGGTTATCTCAGGGGAAAAAAAAAATAAGGTGCTGTTTTACTCTCCCCTTCTAGCTTTAATTTAAGCTATGGAACCTCCACCATAGCACACAAACTTGATGATTGACTAAAACTGTGCCACCTCACTTTCTGCAGAAACATCGTATGAGAAATGCATTTTATGTGCCAGAATATTTATATGAGTTTGTACTCCTACTCTTCCCGTGCACACTTCACGGCACTTGTTCCTTTTGCTTTGATCAACCACTCCAAAATTATTTGCAAACTTTCACATGCATCGGAATAAGATACCCAATCCTATCCTGTCCAGCAGTGTCTTATTGTGAAAGCCAATGTGTTATTTGATGGCATTTAATACATGTATGCTGTTACCTTCCAAACACTTGCAACACTGATGTACTCTTTCAACTGTGAAAGATCATCTGTATCATTCCCTAGCCAACAAATTCTGGCATTGATTAACCCAAACAAATCTGAGGCTTTTGGCTTTCGCACTTGGTCCATTAATTCTATCCAGAATAGGGGTTAGGATATACAAAACCTATTCTGTTTGGCAACTTCTCCTCCAGCTGCTAAGAAAAGCCAAGCTGATGTCAGAACAGCAAAGATTTACAGTGCAGTGACCAAAGAGGGTGTGGAAACGCCTGCACGTGGAATGAGTCAGTCTTTCCTTTTCAGGATGGCTCTAACTGCATCTATCATCTGAGAAACCTGTGCAGCCCATTTCTGTAGTAAAGAAGAAATCATATCGCAGGAAAATACTGCTGGATTTTTTTTCCATGTCCTAGAGAAAGGACAGCTTTTCAAGAGGCAAGCTTTAACTGCTTAAGTTATCTGTCTTGCCTTTTTCAACAGTATCCCCTCACTCAGTACTTACATCAGTGGTGTTCTGAATTCTGCTGTTATTTTGTCAGTCTCCCTTCAGCTGGATAACGTGATCTCTTTCGACAGCTTCACTGAGCTAGAAAGATTTTTGGAGAACTTGAAGAATGAAGGTATGTGGCACCCTAAAGACTTCCCACATGCACACTACAGGTGTTCAGATCAGCTTGCTCAGGCAGCTTTATTGTTTTAGAGCCTAGCATGCTAGCGTTACTGAGGGAGAAAACATTTGGAAAATTATTTCTGTGCATACACTCTGCTGATCCTAAAGAAGTCATCTGCAGTAGGAATTTTCCCCAGTATTTTCACCACCTGAAATCCACACACTGAATTTGGGCTGATGTTTGTAAGCAATATGTGTAAAGCACTTAAGGGTAATGGAATAAAACAACAGTTTAAAAGAAGGCCAAGAGAAAATTTACTAGTAAATGGGATATTATGGTAAATAGTTTTAGCTTTTTGAAAGCACAAATAGAAAATTACTTTTCCGTTCCCCAATGGGAAATACTTTTCCACCAATGAGAAAATACTCTGCTGACATTTTTGCCTTCCAGTGACTGTAAAAAATATGAAAATGTACTTACAGGTATTTGTTACAGCCTCACTTTTGTATCAGTTCGTTCAGGTATCTTTAGCCAGTCTCCAAGATAATCTGTAAGCAGAATACACCTAACCAGGCGCATAAAGCAGTTATTTATTGACTAGCCCACAGAACAGAAAGGTCGGATTTCACGAGCTGCTAGGCTAAGCGCGACTGTGCTCACCCGGCGAGGTCCCCGCGGTGGCCTTGCTGGCCCGGCAGGCGTCGGGCAGGAGGGGAAGGATCAGTCCCTGCAGCTCCCCAGAGCGTTGCTGCGTTTCTGTCTTCTGCCAAGCTCCGTCGGTGCCCCTGGCACTGATGACTTGCCCCAACAAACTGACCTGATGCTTCCTGACTAGCAGGAATCTTTTCTTCCTATAGGTTTTACACCTTTCCACGTTGCTGCTTTCCCACCTGAACCCTTGAGCTACCGGCAATCCTGTCTCAACAGCTCTACCTACCTCTGTTTATAATTCTACCTTCCTTATCTCTCCACAGACTTTCTCACAGCTTTTTTTGAGCAGTCTGAGGCAAGGTTACGCCTTGGATCAGAGCTGGGCCGTGGTGCAGAGGCTGCTGCAGCCCCGGGAGGGGGGGGAGGCACACGGCGGGGCTGCAGCGCGGGGGTGACGTACTCCAGGTCTTCCTCCTGCCGAGAAAACATCATTCAAGTGCAGCTGGAGGAGCGGGTATTCGAAGAGCTCCAAGTGTTGCCATCTTTGCCAGACCAGAATGAAAACTAGGTTTCAAACAGCTTTAAGAGGGGCCGGTGTAGCTTGGTAGAATAAAGTGCTCCAGAAGCTACCAGCTGTGAGTATCGTAAGTTCATGACCTCTTTCTGCTCGCTCTGCTCGCTTGCCACAGTTCAACAAGTTCCAGCTGTCGGTGGGCAGAGGGTTCCTACCTGCGTGGGAAGGAGGCAGCTCAGCAGCAAGTCACAGGCTTCACATGGTGAGAAGCCCGTGGCCACTCGTGCAGTCACTGCCGTGAGCTCTTGAGCCACAGCTCGAACTGAACAAAGACAGCGGCAGGGAAGTGAGCTGGTGTACGAGAGCGGGAAGGTAAACCTTAAAAACCAAGCCCAAGTTTCACCCTTGGTTGTTAAGTTGTTTCTTAGCAAATTATATTTGTATTTAAGAGAATGGTCTAGCTCCATCTTCACTGTGGTGTCTCTAAAAACAGCAAAGCTTTACCCTTCATTCTAGGGCAAATTTTTGGTATTGGAGTGTTGAAAATCCAGATTTCAGTTACTAAAAGGAAAAAAAAAAAAAAAAGAACTAAGCAGTTCCAGGAATTCCTCTCCTGAAAATATTTTGCAGATGAAACTAGCCAGTCATCTCTGGGAAAACAATTCAGGACAAACCATACCAGTGCGTGTATTACAGTAAGTGTATGCACAGCTCATCTGTTC